TAAGGTTGTAATTGTTATTTTAGCAATTTTATTACTATCTAAAATGCGTTACGATGCCATAACTGCTGTCATTGTTCCCAAGTGACATCATTGTCTCTGTCATCAAGCTTATGGAGAGTAAAAAGTTGGTAGATGGAGACGCTTCCCTTGATCTCTTTTTGTAAAGATTCTAGCCCTGCCTTTTGTGAAGGTGGTGCAAAATATAGAATGGTGCACTGTGTTGGCCAAACAGCTTCCATCCTGAGGTGATCTTTTTAAAAAATGTCGTAATTACCTGGAAACACCTCATGTAAAGGATGCCTGGTAAAGGTCTGGTGGTCAGCTTTTCCAGCAAAAGCTCTATTTCAGTTTTAAGCCTGTCAATCATCTTTTTCCTTTCTGGACTCAGGAGGCCATTCTGTACTTGATGTCCAGTATCTCTTGGAGTGGGGTGGCAGGGTGGCGAGAGGCAGCAGGGAGGAAAGCCAGCACTTCTGAGCAGGCACAGTAAAATCCTTCTAGGCACTGAAAACCTTGGCTTCGTGTTGGTTTCATCAGCCTTCTCCTTTTTTCCCAATGTAAAAAGTGTGTCGTTTGTACAGTATGTTTGTCTCTGTATGCAAACATTTTACACAGAGCTTTTGTAGACGGTGTGACTCATGGCTGACAAATCTGTGAGGAGGTGATAGTTGGGTTGTGATGCATAAGCACAGATGTATTCAAGTGCCAGCTGTACAAAGCATCTGTTATTTTTCTTCTGTCCCTGCACTGCAACAGTCAAATAGAAGAAGATACCGGCCTGCCTGTATTTATACTGTATTTATAATTAGTGCCAACGTTTTGAGGTGTTTGAATTTGTGTTGTTGACATTTCTGCATTAGGCAACTATTTGTAATACCAGGATACAGAACAAAAATATGTTGATAATCTGTGGGAGTAATTAGCAAGAATTTTATTAGTGACAAAATGTTATCACTAGACTGCAAACCCCAGTGTTTTCACATTTCTGTCTTAATCTCTCCCCTTTACATAATCACTGGTGCACTGAAATACGACTGGAACCTTTCTCATCGATGAGGCTTGCATGAACCTTTGGTTTATCAGAAGAAAATCTTAGAGACAGAAGTCTCCCTGACTTGCCGTCTCCCAAATGATGGTCGTTTGGCAGCGTAGTCTGGCGTAGGCCATCAACTGCCGTGTTTCAAGCACATTTACGTGCAATGTCTGTATGATCCTCTGATGAAATTAATGCTCATTACTCTATTCCTGAAGCAGGGCAAGATGCTGTAATTTTAGTTTTGTACAGTTCTAAGGTTTCAGGAACTTCCAGTTGTGAAGAGTGGCTTTTGCAAGTTTGTGGGGCTCTGTCTTGCAATCTGAGGTGGGTTTGGTGGTGTTCTGTGGTAGTTTGGATACTTCTGGTTTTGTAGCTGAAATTTAGGTATACTTACTTTGATTACTAAATGTTATTTTTTGTCCTCATACGTGGTGTGTTGCTTAATATTTGACTGTGTATTGATAACTTAGTGAAGGAAATTATTTAGAAAAAAGCATTATGCCTGAGTAAATTTTTCTAGAGCTCCTGCAAAGGACTACAGGATGTTTGTCAATAATGATGTGTAGTCTTACTGAACACAGTAACTTTTGCTGTGTTTAATAGGGCATCTTGCCTAGTGTAAAACTTCCTGCTGTGTGGTAATGGAACAGATTAATGGAATAATGTGTGTGGTATAAATGCTGTGGAAGAAAGGAAACGCATTCATGCTCTGCTTTGGATCTTGGCATGTTTGGGTTCAAATTTATCTTAAATAATGAGTTAAAAGGAGTTGAGATGTCTAGCTCTTAAAAGCTATATCCAGGACTGAGTTCAGATTTTGAAGTTTAAGAATGTGAAGGGAACACTGAGTCTGGCTTGCTCTGAAACATGGACCATGGAGATCCTTGAATTCCCTGTTTCAAGAAGATTGGGAATTAGGACGAGTTCAGTGGAGGTCCTGGAGTGTCAGAAAAAGCTGAACTGTGCTGCAACTCCTGTGGCAAGCTAGTTCAAGCTTTTGCAACCTTATTGCATGTCTTTTATTGCTCAATTCCTGAGCTTTCTTGCTTCTATGCTTGTGAGACCTTTCACCAAGCCCTTTCGGTGAACTAACCTGTGGGACAATTTCCTCTAGAGGAGAAAGAAAGAACAAAGTCTGTTTTTCTGATGATTTAATATGCTAAAATGGGTCTGTATAGAATCCATTACATATCAGAGGCTGGGAAAGGAAAGTGCACAGAACCACTGAGCCTGAGCTTTTGACATCCCTGAAAATGGAGGAGGGGAGGATACACAAGCTCTTAGTACTGCCTGTGAGTAGTGTAGCCTAATCAAGGTACACTTACAACTGCTTAAGTGCTGTGACAGAGAAATGAATCCTTAGATCTGTGCCTGTAATCCTCATACTGTTGTAGAAGAATTGATCTTGCTGCTAGCTGAGGAGATGCAAAGGAGGGTAAAGAAAGACCATTCAATAAGCTCATACTTGTAGAATGGTTGAGAAATAATGTCTTGGGAAAAGAAGTGACATTTGGCTGTGCTGGAGAATCCTTGGTGTATGTAGACTCCTGCTGCGTGTAGAAACCCTTTGCAATTCAGGGATTTCAGTTGAACAATTCAATTGAAATCCTTGATTTCCAACCCCTCCCTGCCCTCCCCCCAAGAAGTTGAAAACATATTACTGAGTTGTGACTGAGGTCTGATCAAAAAAGAATTTGACGTTATGGATCGTAGCATTTTATCATTCCTCATTGAGGGTACACAGCTTTTAGAGTATAATTTATAAATTTAAGTTACGGTAAATTAGTGAATGTGGTGTCTCCTGAACTGAGTGTTCACTAGCAAATGGGGTTTGTAACAGCCATTACTTTCAGTGGGGTGAGGGACTAAAGTCACTGGAAGGAAACAGTAAAGAGAAGTCTTTTCTAGTGATAGAAACACTTTTTTTTACCTTTCCACCTTTGAAAGGATTGTCAAAGAAGGAGCCAAGTGCTTGTGCTTCCACCCTTTAGTGTCATAGTTGGTAGATAAAGGAGTTAGCTGAAGATGCTTTCCAGAGAAAGTAATTTTTCGGCTATCTGAACATTTGTGATAATGCTGAGATGTTGTGAAACAGGAAAAGACTACAAGCATGACTTTGTTCTGGCTATTGCCATTTGTTTCTGCTGATTAGGTCCTAGGAGCATCCTCAAATGTATTTGACCTTGTCTTTGTATTTATTTCAGAGAACAAAAATAACAAGCATACTATTCTCTGATCATAGATTTCAGTGTACCACTGAATAAAAAAAAAAAAAGATAACATTTGAAGGAGGACTTTTGAATTGAACTCGGTAGAATTTCAGAGTACTTCTGGCCTAGTCCATAATACTACTTGATCATTAGCTCTTGACTCAAGTTACTGGTTTTCAGCCAGTGTGGTTTAAAAAAGCATTGGTAGAATGGTCTTACCATGACCAGCCAAAAGAAAGGTATGACATAATAATAATGATTCATTTGAGTGACAGGATTATTACCCTTAATTTTGTTGGTGCAATATGTATTGGAAGGTACATCAGTTGGAGTCATGCAGCTAGCTATATGTCAAGTCCAAATGGATCTGTTCAACGCGGGCTAATATGGAAATAGTAATTGGTATCAATTATGCTAATATAATTTCAGCTACATGAACTTCTGTGATCTTTGTTTTGAAATAAGAATCTGTGTACCCTTTTATCAAAATATTAATTTCCTGTGAGGGATAAATGTACTGAAATCAAAATGTTTGTACGTAGACCTTGCTGTGGTTTTCCGCGTTTTCTAGCGGCAGTGAGCTTCTAATGTAAAGTCATTGGACTTGAATCTCACGGTTTTAAAAGTGTTTTTGAAGGGCCTTTGAAGTGCTTAGAAGTAATAAATAGCACCCTCTAGTTATTAGCCTAGAAAAATGTATATTTTGGGAAGAATTTCAGTAGGCAGAATGTCAAAACTTTTTTCTATTATTTCCTTGACAGCTGTCTTTCTGTACATATATTGTATATAGTTTCTCTGCTGCATACTTACTGTATATTCCAGTTTGTTATCTTGAGGCATTTGAGGTAAACAGTTGGCATTTGTACTCCGGTTCTCCAGAATATTCTTGAGCAGCTTGAGCCGATCCAAAAGACAAGCAAGTGTTGTGTCAGGAATTGTGTTAAACTCTGTAAAATAAAACAGATATGCCAAGGGGAAACACCCTCCTTTACCAATACTTAGTATATGTTTGTACAGCTGGCAATTTGTGCTGCTTCGTATTCGTTGACCTAGAAGTAGCCAACGTTTTAATGTGTTTTTGGAGGGGAAAAAAGGTGTTATGGAAAAGAACTGCCACATCAAAGCCTCTCCTCTGCTTGTAAAATGGTTTCCACCACTACCTTCCTCAGCCCTATCAGAACACTCAGCACTTTCTCCCTCTCAAAAGAAAGGAAGCCTTTTTATTAAGAAATGGCCTTAGAGTTTTATTTATATTAAAATGATAAAAGTGACACAAAGCAGTTGAAAAGGTCTGTGTAGTGCAAACAAAAGTCCATCAGAGATGTAATGTGTCTCTATCAAATCAGGTCATAGGATTCAGCTGTTGCACACACTGAAGGAAGTATTCTTTTAGGAAAGTGTTACTCTGCGGAATGTCTTTTAAATAACTAGGATGTAGTCTATAACTTCATGCCTACCAAAGGGTTTGTATTTTACTGGTCAGATCTCATGTTCCATAGTCTTATTTGTGATATAGCAGACTTAAGTACTTGATAATTATTTGCATAATGCAAGTTCTTGACTGTTGTGGAAATCATAATTCATTTTTAATCACCCATTCCCTTAATGTAGAAGATCCTTTGTTCTCCAGCATTCTGCTCACATTGCTGGAATTTTTTTAGTGTGCTAAATACCATAGAGAGGCAGAAATAATTTGAAAATAATTTTACAAAAAATCCTTCTTTCCACTGAAATCTCTTTTTAATTTGTTTTAGCACAAGCCCACCTTACTGCTGTGTGGACCTTTATTCTTTGCGAACAGGAGAGATGGTCAAGTCCATACAGTTCAAAACTCCTATTTATGATCTGCATTGCAATCAAAGGTAAGGATATTTCCTATATAAGCTTTCTGTGTTAGGGCATGTAAAATTTGGTAATGAATGCAATTTCTTATAAATGTGCTCCCTGTTTTTATTATTTTGACTTTACTTCAGTTTGAGTACGACAGTATGCTTCTCTGATGGCTTTCATTCAAGAACCTCAAAACATTTTGCATCTGAAATCATTTAAGCTTCTTCCAGTTGTGATGAGAGTGAGCAGAAATCATTGGAATCCTCTGTCATCTACCTACAGATGGAGAAATGGGATCACTGAGAGTTTAAACAGTATAGAGCACTATAGGGTTTGTGTCTTTTTCCTTGTGTTCCATTGTTCTGCCAGATATATCACCTTCCTACACATCCAAAAAATTCCTAGCATGCACTCTGTGGTTAACAGGAAATAATGTTCCTGTGCATCAAATAACAAAGCAGCATCTCTTTGTTGGGGTATTGTCACCTAATTTTTGAGAGAAAATGGCTTAGAAGGCAGAGCATCCGCCTGAAAATACCTTATTTCTGTAGAATCACCACTTCAAGCTTTTCCTCCGTTACCTTCAGATCTTCATTTCTCCTGAGACACACAGAACTGAACACCCTTATCATTTATTGCATCTTTTTAAGACAGAAAGAAAAACTCAGGGTTCCTACACGAGGGTCTCGATCCCTTGGCACTCCTGATGAGAGAATTTGATGCAGTGACTTTGGTCAAAGCCTGTGATTGTGCTACTTGCTTTAATGCTTCCTTTCACCCAGCTATTGCTGTTGGTAGTCACTGTGTGTCTCGAGGTACCTTGCGGGAGCGGTGGAATGCGATTCCTCTGTTAAAGCTAGAGGGCTGACTGAAGACATTTCTTTGGCAATGCACGTTTGTTTGCTGGAATTGGTCGTCCTTCAGTGAGGAAGGTGCCGTAATAACACGAATCATTAGGAACAAAACATCAGAAAATAAAACATTTGATGTGCCTGTTTTGGATGGCAGTGGGTAGCGTACTTGCGTATGTGAAGACCACAGAAGCTTACGAGTACGTCATCAAACTCATGCAGCTCACAGAAGTTAGTGGTGTTGGAGATTGTTTAAAAAAAAAAAAACCCAACCAAAACCACACCACCAGCCCTTGAAGCCATAAAGGGTTTGTCAAACAGACATTTGTCTCTCATTGTACCATCAAAATCTAAGCATTAATGACAATTATGTGAAGCCTAAGTTACAGAAGAAGGGCAGTACTACTGAACAAACACCTTTTAATAGCACAACTCATCTAACGATGAGAAAGCTCTTTTGATTGTGTGAATGTTTGAAGTAGTAAAGGGTGGTAGTTTTTGTTATCCCCGTCAATCTGCTTATTGTAGGATTGTGGGTATGATTGCTGCATCAAAAAAAGAGCTTCACTGTAGTGGTTGAGTTGGTGAGAGTTATGTGCCATGAATAGGTCACTGTTCCTTTAAAAGCTGTCAAGAGTTCAGTACTTATCTGTGCAACTGTCCCTAGAAAAATTTAAAGTTCCCTTGTGTACAGTGTGGTGATAGTAAATCTTTCCAGTCTGGCCTTCTAGCAGCAGAGAAATCCAATTGTAAAAACAGTCCAAAGGCAAATCATCATTCAAAGTCTCTCCCAACTAAAAAGTCTTTCCAGGTGCTAATGTTTCTTTTCCTAAGTGGTAAAAATGGAAAAGCTACTTCAAAGCTATGTGGCTGTATCCAGGGTAGCTGCTTTTCTGGAACGTATCAGATTCTGTTATTATCCAAGGAAAGCTCACTGTTTCAGATTGAAAATGCATTAAATGTGGCCAAGTGCAGTGCTAATGGTGCGTTAACTGTAGTATAGACTGATGGAGTCCAAAATCTGAATTGAAAATAAAGCTTGGGTTGCAGAAGAAAGGGAAACTGTGTATTATTCATGTATTTATACTCTAGAATCATCCATCTGGAAGGTTTCATTTATGCAGAAAGACAGTACATCTTTGAAGAGTAGAAAACAAAAATCTACAGGATTGGGAAATACTGAAATCAAATATACACAGGTTTTCTATACATACATGACACTTGCACGTGCATTCAAAGTCCTTCCATTATTTATTGGTTAACTTTCTTTTAGGCCTTGTGGAAGAATTTAGAATTGGTAGATTTTCTTTTGGTTTTCTCTCCTACAGTTTAAGCAATTGGAGATGTGTCATTTGACTAAAACTACTGTTTTGTCCAAACTTAATTTATATATGCAGGGTTTATAACTTTTAAAAATTGAGATTTATAAATTGGAAGGGGGTGGGGAAGCATCTTTTTCACAATGAGAGCTACAAGTAAATAAGAAACCCTACATTCATTTCTTTTTATGACGAACACATCCGAATTCCTCTTGCCGAGTTGCATGGTCTGCCCTCTTCTCTTGGCAAGTAAGCTGGCTGCTCTGAAAGTGTGTGTGTGCTTCCCGTGCTAGGCCTGCAAATCTCCAAATGTGACTTTTGTCTGAAAATCAGGGAGCAGCTAGTCTTACACCAACCCACTGAAAAGGCTTCGGGAGTCATCCTGGGCACTAGAGATGCAGTCGGTTACTTACCAAGTGTGCTGGCAGAAGCCATAGAATGAAATGGCTGTCACAGAGATGAATCATGCCTACTGGAGGAGCATTAGTACAGTTTTTCAGCTGGAATCATGGCTCAAGATTTACTTATACATCTGAAAACATCAGCAAACATGTGGGCAGGATATAGATTTTGATTTTGGTGTAGTCCTTCACTGAAGAGTCTTACAGGTATTGAGCTCTCACGGGATAAGGAGGGAGGTGTTCTTGTTGCTAAACAGTTAAAAATAGGAAAAAAAGAAGAGAGGACTTAATGGCTGGTTTCACATTGGTAGGAGCTCACCCTTTACCCAAGGATATGTGTTGAGACTGATGTGATTCGTAATCCTTTTAAATATTATTCTATACTGCTACATGCAATCATAACTTTCAGATAAAGCATTAGGTGTGTGTTTTAGTCATGGAGATAAATTTTTGGCCACGTAATATCTGTACAATTAGAACTATTAGAACAGCATTTCATAATGCTCCGTATTATTAGCTAATTAAAATAAATACTGTCTCAAATTCTTCCTAATGAGCAAATAATCAGATTCTTAATTGTGTCATATTGCTAAATGCTCCAGATAGCTGGTAGATTTTGTCTATTTGTAGGCTTCCCAGGTGGTTCTTTCAAGAGTTTAAGAATTTGGTTTTGGGGAGTAATCAATGTCCTAGAAGATGTATTCTAGTTATAAAGCTTTCAAGGTGCTTCACTTTCCAAATTTGGCCTCTGTTACTTTAGACAGCAGCATTTCATCCATTGTTACAGCTTTTGTGCTGTTACTTCATTTTGCGTAATGAAAAGTATTTTGCAATAAAAGTGTGTACGTGTATGGGTGAATACATAAACATACATCTGTAATTTTGCTAATTGACACCAGTCCTGCTTGTCTCAACCGTATTTATGTGCTGATGTTCTTGGTATGAAAAAAACCCCTTGCTTTCAGTAAATAAGATGGTTTAATAAATCTGCAATGAGATGGGCAATGGGAATATTTCAAATTTAGCCTGTGTTCTACTGATTGTTGATTTGATTGTTATTTGAGTCACTGAAAGTAATTCAGGATCCTTGCAATTCCATTCTTTCTTTTTAATGGGGCTTTTACTGCAGGAGGTATATCATAAATATGCTGTGTTGTTCTGTATCAGATCTGTGTACTTCCTGAAACGAAGGTTATGTGGTTGGGATGAGAGAGAATCCTCAATAACTGCCTTGTATTGGTAACCTGGCAGTTTATCACTGTAGAATTTATATTGATGCTTTTGAAATAATTACATTTAGATATTGAATCTTTAAACCAATGCATTTAATGTTCAAAGTACGTGTTCCATTTCTGTGTTTTCAGGATTCTTGTTGTAGTCCTGCAAGAGAAAATTGCCGCCTTTGACAGCTGTACTTTCACCAAAAAATTCTTCGTTACAAGTATGTATAATAATTGGGTTCAGTCTATTTTGTCTAGTGGTAGATTTGTCGAAAACAGATTTTTTTTTTTTTTTTTAAATTTACTTCTAAATCCTCAAAGCAAGTCTCCATGACTTCATTTGGAGTTTCAGGAAATGTGTTGCCTCAAAAAAACCCCAAACCCCAAGTGTTGCTTTGGCTCTTTTGCATATTTGTTGTTGCTGTACCTAATGTCTCACTGTTGGGAAGAGCACGATACTGACATCCACAGGTAGCTGAAAAATTCTTCTGTCCGTTTTGCCCCTTGTCCATCTGCACCCTATGACTGGCCTCTCAGTAGCAGGTGATTGATTGTCATGAGTAAGGTGCTCTCCAAAGGCTGTTCCTCTGCTGGAAGTGTCCCTTGGCTGCCCAGCATCTGTAATGCAGATGTTAGAAGAGAAACCCAGTACATTTTCGGCGATGTGTACTCTGCCCTGCCACTGGATGTGCTTAAGATTAGGATGTCGCTCACCTGCTCCCAAGACTGTGTCTGGTGCCTGTGTAATGCTAAACACCAAGAAAGTATTGACCCCACAAAAAATGAAAATCTTTCCAAGCAGCTAGTGACTAGTGCTGCTGTTTATCAGTTATCAACCTCTTAAACTCTGGAGGTTACTGAGGGATCAGAATTCACTTTGGAAGAATCAAGATTTTATTGTTAAAAAGGAGAATCTGAAATACCCTGGCTGTATTTTCAGTCACAATTGGAAAAGTTCTGGATTATCTTTTTATATTATCTGTGCATTTAAAGGAAAAGTTAGAAGCCGTTTATGTAAGAGCTTGAAGCAGAGCAGCGTTATGCAGTAATATTAAAGTTGCCAATAGGTGTCAGTTTCTTCCTATACATGGCTGTGAGATACCAGGAATCTGCTGGGGTTCAGCAAGGAGAGCCAGATGGGAAAAGGCTTGTTTGTGTCCTCCTATTGCTCACGCCTCCTGGTTACTCCCCCAAAGAGAATTAACCTTGTTTATTTTAGACCAAAACCCCCACCACCTCACTAATAACTGTGTATTTTGTCAATTCTTGTGCTTTTCTAATTCCAGGTGTTTGTTGTTTAAAAGATACTGCAATTTATTTTTTTAAAATTGTCTGTATTTTGAGGAGCAGGAATATCCTGTTCCTAACCATAACTTTTCATCTACTGTGCGTTTTGTGGAACCGCAGTGGAATTTAAAGAGGATAAAATAAAGCTTTGGGAGGTTACTTATCGAATTATTTGAAAATCCCAACTCCTGAAGTGTCACTATTCACAGGGTAGTTCTCCAGCCATGCTGTGTTTTTAATAGGAGAAACTTAAGATGTTCTCAAACTGTTCTGGTTCTGGGGTTCCGAAGCTCGGCGAAACGCATCCCTCATGTTGCACTGGGCATTTTGGAAAGCTGCAGGACCCAGCAGACAGCTGGAGCTGCTGCCACCACAGCTCTTTACCTGTTGCCACCCCAGCTTGCCGGTGGCCGGTGATGGGCTGTGACTGGACAAAGAGACGTGTGCTTTTCTGCGAGGTGAATGCGTTTCTCAGAGTTGTGCTGCTGAATAGCTGTCCTGAGGATTTTGAAGCTTAGTTGGTTCACTTAATAGCTTATGGTATCAAGCGGGTGTTATGCTCTGGCATGTTGAAGGCTGCAGTAAAGCTTTTGTCTAAGCTTTCAGATTTCACATGTGCTGAAATCTCTTCGACTTAAGAGTATATCTTTAACAGCTTACGTTACTCTGATGTGTTTGAAATTTGATGTAAATGAGCTACCTAGTTAGCTGCGTAGATTTTTGATAGTTGGCCAACTGGCCGATAATGGGCTCTTTGGCTGCCTCTTTTTTAAGTTAGGAAGGAGCAGTGTCAGTTTAAACTGGAAAAGTCCCTGAAAAGGATGCTCAGCACAAGGTCTTACAGGTCTCTCTGCATTAATGGAGCATCCCTGCTCTGCAGGACAGTCAGCCAGTGTCCTGTCCAGGTCCATCCTGATGCACCTCAGCCAGGCAGTGGCAGTAGGAATGTCACTGGCTGCTCAGGGAATTTTTCATCATGAAGAAGATTCTTAGCTGTGTTATCTGACTGCTTTTAGTGCGAAGTGAAGGGTTAAGAGGTAAAAAAAAAAATTAAATTAGGATCACTGGCTCTTTAAAGACATTTCTGTTGCGGTGTAAACCACTGTGTAGAAAAAGAAAATCTGTTTTTTCAAGAAGATTTGGTGACGTGGAAATCACATCTTCCATCCGTATCAGCTGAGTGGCGGGAGAGCTTTAGAACCCTACTGAGACCGCTACAAAGCAAACCTAATTAAGCAGAAGCTCTGGTCCAAGTTGTTGCCTATTTATACATAGAAATTAAATACAGAACGCACAGTTAAAAACAGTGTCAGGAATTCTGAGTTTCGGTGTTCCTCAGCAATGCCGATGCAGCTGTGTTGCAGATGAGTAGTATTTGTCTTTCTGTTTTTGTTTTTGTGGTTGAATGTGTAGCTTAATATATTGTTGTAATAAATATACCATAAAATATTCAGGATGCAGAACATGGTCAAGTTTGTGCTGCTGTTGGGATGTTTAACTCCTGCATTTCCTGATCTTTCTTGAGCAAATTCGACATAGTAATAATCTTTTTTCTTTCCCCCCCCCGTATGTGACTAGATGGAAATGTACTGATTTGACTTGAATGGCAGAAAGCCAGCATGCTTTATTTGTGCCTTTTGTAACGAAACCTCAGCGTAGACGTGTTCCAGTCTTGGTGTGTGAATTTAAGACAGGTGCTTAAACTTGAAGGGAAATCTTACTTTGGATATTTTAGAAAAATTACCAGCATATCCTATAATCTACCCTGTGTGGTATTCTTATTTTCAATGTCTGCTAAGGCAAGGCATCAGTCTGCAAAGACCTCATGGCAGTAACTTTGATACGGCACTGTTCTCTGCTGTGCTCTGCTATGCTTCCGCTTGGAGCCAGCTCCGTTTTGTTGGGAAAGGACTTGCATCAGGGGGACGATAAAGCCAAACAGTAATTTTGCAGCCTGCACTCTTTTAAGTGTGCCAAACTAAAAAAAAATATGGCCAAACTAAAAAAAGTAATTTGATGCTTATAAGAAGAATGTGTTTCCTTTGGTAGTTGTGAATGTCAAGGTGTGGATTTTAAGTAGATTTTTTTAAACAGTTGAGAGTTGGGTTTTTTTGTGGTTCACTTAGGATTTCCTTCAGAGCCTGTTTCTGAACACGTCGTATGACTGAACGATCAGAAACAAAAGTGATGTACAGGCTTTTTTCCCCTACTTTGCTCTAAACAATAGATGCAGAAAGGCTGAATTTCATTGATTTCTATTACATCAGTGCTCCCTCAACCCTTCTCCAAAAATGCTTGCTTAGTGGAACGTTGATGATTATGAATATGGCCTGATGGATACTTTCTTCTCTGTAAAGAATATCCTTCCCACCCCTTGGGCCCTAAGTAAAGATCATCACAGATAACATCATGCATGTGGCATCATCTTTGTGTCCGTAACTAGTGCCTGCTCAGTATCTCTGGGCCTTCCACTCCTCATATTGATATATTCTCCATCCGTTATTCTCCAGGGATGAAGACAGTTATTGCAGCCATTAGCTGGCACCACATTTCTATTGATGCTGTACAGCTAGAGCCTTAAGAGGTAATTTTCCAGATTTTAGTCAGAGTACTTTATTGTATATAAAGTCTCCAAAGACTTGCCTAACCACAAGCCAAAAATTATTCAGCATATGTTAAATGCACCCCACCTGCCCCTCTCAAAATAAACAAACACCCCCAAACTAAATGTGTTTGGTACTCTAATCTGCAATTTTGATGTGATATTCCTATTTTCCCTGACATTCACATGCAAGAAATAATATGGTGGTTTCAGTTTGTCACAGGTCTGAACTGGAAATCATCTAGGCTTTTTTGGCATTTTTGTTAGCTTTGTTAGAATTCCTTTTCCCTGATGGGCACACGGGAGCAGTTTGATCTCTTCGTTTTGAAGTAACAGCACTGGATGTCTTAGGCAAAGGTCTAATGCCTGAAGAGTTACATTCTTCAAGAACTTCTGTGTGTACGTTTCCCTTCTCAACTGTGATCAGGGAGTGGAATTTATCCTGGATATCCCACATGGTATAATAATTGATAGGATTCCTGTCTGTGGAGGGAGGCTCTTCAGATCGAAAGTCCTTACGGCAGGTGGGATGGGAGTTCCTGTTTCACAGTGTTTTCTTGAGCAATGAAGAATACGTTCCTGTGAATTGTACTATTTCTATAGGCATGCACATACACACACACACACCCCCTTACTGACATTTGTAACTGCCTTCCCCAAGAAATGTTGATTTCAGCTTGCTTTTCCTTTTTAATGGTGGTGTTTATAACAGCAGGTTCTATCCTGAGTGTGGGAATCAGCGTATCACTATTACAGGGTAATGTTGGAATACTTTTGGAAAAGGTCTTTAGGGCCACGTGTTAGACTTATGGAAACGAACGTCTTCGTTGCTTACAGGGTGTTTTGCTGCATTGCAGGAAAGTGTAAATACAACAGAAAAATTGCATGAACAGAAACAAGGCACTGGTACCCAAGACAGATAGCTGTCATATCTCCTGGGTTTGACAGTTTTAAAAATTATGTGCAGAACAGGAAGTGCTCTTTGTTTCTGTGTACGTTATTTTTATCTAAAGCACCCAAATCCTTAGTGTGAAAGGCCAAACCAGAGTCATCTTATTCACATTGTCCTGTACAGGAACAACAACCTCAGGAGTAACGCTGGTATTTATCACTGTCCAGTTCTCTGAACAAAAAGAGTAAACCCAAGATTAAAATATAGTTTATCCTGAAATCAGTTGAATCTATGAGAAGTTAAACAACCAAGCCTAATGAACATTGAAGGCCATAGATATTTTTAGTGAAAGCTCTAGTACTGGTTTTAGACCTACAGAGTAACAGTAAAATGCTTAAAACTGACATGATAGAATGGACAGGAAAAGGAGGTCTCTAGTA